CAAGGCGGAGGCTGAGGCTGAATCTCACGGGGCTGGCGAGGAGGTGAGGAAAGTGGAGCGGGAGGAAGAGGCTGCTGCCAATGATACTTCTACGCCTCCTCCACCGTTGCCGCCCAAGCCAGTTCCTGAGCTGGCTATTCCGACACCGCAAATCTCACTTCCTTCCCCTTCTGTGGACGATACACCGATTACGCCGATGGCTGAGCTTGAGGTACATCAGCCGTCGCCGCGGTTGCCGCCCAGTCGGCTTTTGGAGGACTTTGAGGAGGAGGAGGAGGATGTGGAGGATGCGCTCGAGGATGAAGGCGCCACGGTGGACGATGAGGGAGTGCCATCACCTGCGCTCGAGACTGCTCTGGATGTCGGCATGTCGACCCTCCAGTTACCACCCTCCTACGAAGCAGCCGCCACCCTCGCATCTCCTGCTGCCGAGAGCATCGTCTTCCCCATCTCAGCGCCCGGTGTTGCTGCCCCGGATGAATCGACTCTATCCTCTGCTGCCGTGGCCTCGGTGGTGTTTCCATCTACCGATGGTGGTTTCTCTGCTGGGGAGCCCACGACCGACAGTGTCGTCTTGCCCATCTCAGCGTCTGCTACGCCACAGGCTGCAGTGGCCTCGGTGGTGTTTCCATCTACTCCCACTGGTTTCTCTGCTGGGGAGCCCAAACTTGAGGAACCACAGGCCCCGAGCAACGCCGTTGTCTTCCCCGTCGCTGATGCAGATACCCCGACCAACCCCCTCCTCGCAGACCTCGCCGCCGCCAGGGAACGGTACGCGTCTCTCCAACGCGCCTTCCTCGCATGCCACCGCGCGCTTGAAGACCTCCGCACTGCACTCGCTGGTGGTGGGAAAGATAAAGATTTGGCGCTGCGAGGGGCGGTGGAGCGTCTTCATGATTATACGGAGGATGCACGGGTGGAGCTTGAGATTCGCGTTGCGGATGAGCGGGTGCTGGCACGTGGATGGGAGACGCTTGTTGGTCTTGCTCCAGAACGTGAAGGAAAGGAGAAAGAAGAGAGTGAGGCGGAGAAGGAGGTGCGTGCGCAGGTGGCTGTGTTTGTAGAGCGGGATGCTCAGGCGCATGCTGGATTTATGAAGAAGCTGGAAGATGTGGAGCATGATATTGGGGCGGTGAAGAGGGTGGTTTATGCACCGCCAGCCGAGGCCGTCGTGGATGACCAGCAGCAGCGATTGAAGGAGAGAGAGAAGGAGGGCGGGTGGGGTTCGTGGCTAAGGAGCGGGACGCCTTCACCTGATGCATTTACGCCTACGTTTGGGAGCGTCATGACGAGTCCGCGGTTGAGGCATTCGACGTCTGCTGCTAGGCTTGGCCCTCTTGAGGGTCTTGGGCTGAGGGTGGCGATGCCGGCGTATGTCGCGCCGGTGCAGCAGGTGGAAGAGGCAAGGCCCAGGCAGCGCACGATTTCGGGTGTGTATATGCTTGGGCTTGGGGTTGGGCATTCGTCGCCTGGACGAGCGAGGAGGCCGAGTGCGTTGGGGGTGCCCCCGGTTTCGGTGGATGATGCTAGTGCGGACGTTGAGTGAAGGCTATATATTCTTTAATTTCATTGTAAGTAAGGCAATCCTAGTGTAGACGAAAGAAGGTATTCACTCGGAAGTAGTTCGGCAGTCAGAGATCAACGCCCCTTTCTCCGCTACCACCATGCTTCGTCGCTCTGCCGTAGACGACCGCCCCGAGGTTACATACGAACGGGACTGGCTTCTCCGTCGTGACTTTCTGGAGAAGAGCGGGTACCGCCTGCGACCCAAGTTCTATCCCGGCATGAAACTGAAGGAGCTGCGTGGCCGCGACCTGAGCGAGTATGGAGCAAAGCACGCTGTGAGCCCGCCCAGTTGTTTCTCAATGACTTTTCGAATACCCTCGCAGCGTCGCTCCATCATGGACGCTCAGCGCATCTCGGACGGCAGCCAGGTCCTCCTCAAGTCCGTCTCCACAGCTGAACACCCAGAAGAAGTCGGCATTGCGCGTTTGCTAGCCTCTCCACCGCACGCTGGACACTCCAGAAACCACAGTATCCCGATTCTCGATATTCTAGACGATCCACTTGATTCTGACCGGCACATTCTTGTTATGGTCCGCTGCGTCCGTATCGACGATCCAGCGTTTGACACTGTAGGCGAGGTCGTGGACTGTCTGAAGCAGACTTTCGAGGTGAGTATCATGTATACTCTCCTCGCCCATTCTCACAATCTCGCAGAGCATTGAATATATGCACGAACACTTTATAGCGCATCGGTGCGTCTTGCTCTCCCTCTCTCGATCCGTACTAATTCTTCTAACAGCGATTGCAACTCCCTCAATTTCGTCCAAGATCCCACGCGCCTCTATCCCGACGGCTTTCATCCCGTCATCACACACTATGGCCGAAAATACCGAACGATCGCACGCACAATCACTCGTACCGAATGCTGGCCTCGCTACTATGCCATCGACTACGGTCTTTCCCGCCAATACGATCCTGCCAACGGTCTGCCTCTCGAAGATGTCATCCTCGGCGGCGACCAATCTCCTCCAGAACACCAAGATGGGTCCCCGTTCGAGTGTGATCCCTTCCCGACCGACGTTTATTTTCTGGGCAACATGATCAAGGAGGATTTTCTCTATGTGACGCCGCTCCAGCATCGTGAATGGGTAAGTTCTATCTCCTCCCTTCAGCTGTGTGAGTCAATCAATCTGAACTTGGCTTGCAGACGCCCACCCCCCACCCGCCTCTCCTCTTCCTTCAACCCCTGATCGACGAAATGACGCTCCCCGACCCGGCCAAGCGCCCGACCATCGGCGAGGCCATCCAGAAACTCGACGATCTGTGTGGGCGGTTGAGTAATTGGGAGCTGCGCCAGCCGGGCGTGCGGATGGCGTGGGATGATAGAGTGAAGCAGCGGTTTAGGCAGTTTGGGAGGATGGTGAGGGGGGTGAGGCCCCTGCCTGTGTATGTGGAACGAAAGGATAGGGGGGGGATGAGTAAGGAGATGAGGGCGTTTTATACGGAGAGGGCGGAGGGAGGCCATGGGGAGGCTGGGGATGATGGGGAGGAGAAGGAGGGGTAGGGGGTGTTGAGATTGGTGGAGTGTTGAATGTTCGACGGATGTATAAATTTCTCTCTCCATATGTGTAAACCAATCCAAAGAAGTGTGCATCTACCTGGTAGATATATACGAGTACCCTGGATGGAATTACGACCATGGAGGGTGTGAGTATATGGGACGACGTTTGGGCTCGGGGAGGTGCCGGTGAGGATTCGAGCCAGAAATCAGACAGTCCGAACGGGCGCAAGGTGGTCGGTCATCTAGAGTAGGTACATTCAAGTCAAATATCCAACGAAGACTCGTTGTCGCACGGCGTGGTTGGAGCACGATGAGTTCAACACTTGAAGCCTCAGGCCTCAAGTTGGATTCTCAAATCGATTTTGTTCCATCTTTGAATTCAATTTCTCATATATACATCCTTTACGTGAATACACTCAGTTGTTTGCACTTTCACCTTCCTCCGCGTTACCCAAGTTCTCCTTCGCCAGCGTATCCTCCCCCAACGCCGGCCGATTCGGGTTCCCCGCCGTCGTCCCACCGTCGACGGGGAATATAACTCCAGTGATCCATCGCGCTTCGCGTGAGACGAGGAATAGGATCGCGTAGCCAACGTCCCACCCCGTGCCCTCTTGACGCAGAAGATTCTGGTTGATCCTCTTTTGGCGCAGTTCGTCTGTCATACCACGACCGCGGACCATGGGTGTCTGTTCGAAAAAAAAAGGTCAACTTTGGAAACAGGATGGGTTTAGAGAGACGTACGTAGACCATCCCTGGGGCGACGCAGTTGACGCTAAACGAGTTCAACGTTCAACTTTGAAAGACGGCGGTGAATCGTGATATGGGCACTCACCGAATATTATCAGGTCCATGATGTGCCGCCATAGCGCGGGTGAGCTGGATAATAGCGCCCTTGCTGACGGGGTATAACACGCCGGGATTACCACCCAATACTGTGTCCTTGCTTGGTAAGTGACCAGGGAAAGCAGAATGATGACGACTCACGCCCAGAAACGGACGACATGTTGACGATCGCGCCCCGCCCGACTTTTTTCATTTCGGGGATGGCGTAGCGCGACATCATGACCATGGATGTTACCTGTACCGGGGGAAAAACATTCAGCCTCAGAAATTAAACCAGCAAGTAGTAAACGCACGTTAATCCGAAAGTCCCGATCCCAAGCCTCCAAGTCAACTTCAGTAACATTGCCATGCGGGCCACCCACCCCAACTGTTCACCCATCAGCTCTCAGCTACCCCTCCAACAGTCCCAGCACGAAGAAGGGCTCACCGATATTAACAAGCACATGCACCTTACCCCACATCTCCACCACCCTCCTCACAGCCGCCTCACATTCCTTCTCCTTCGTAACATCACACTGAACGACTTCGGAAACGCCTCCCTCTGCGTCGATCATTCGTTTTGTCTCGCGAGCCCAGGCGAGGTTGTAGTCGAGTAGTGCGACTTTGGCGCCTTGGCGCGCGAGGAGGATCGCTGTTGCGCGGCCGTTGCCGATTTCACCTGTTGAATTCAGGTTTGAGGGTAACGAGAGAAGAGGCGTTGGGAGCTTACCGTCGAGACGAGACCCCGCGCCCGTGACGATCGCCACCTAGATAGTTCAGTTGTATCTTCAAGTGTTGAAGCAAATGCAAAGTACGTCGCCGTCAAACTGGAAAGCCGGGGGAGGAGGGGGCATGGTGGTTGGTGGGAGAGAAATCTGAGCGATGAGAGGCGGTTCCTGGAGCACCCCATGGACATTGGGCGCGTGATCACTCCGTCATCGTTGGTTCCGTGAGATCGTGGTTTGTTCATTTTGCCACGGCGGTTGGTCAAGCGGAATTGAATGAGGAAGAAAGGGGAGAGGATGGGGATGGAATGGGAGGACTCTGCGTGGACGAAACAACCGAGGATAGGTAAAGGGATTCATGAGTTAAACGGATGAGCAAAAAGGAACTCTCGACCAGGGAGTCGAACCCTGCTCTCCCGCGGAAATCTGTCAGCTCCAAGATGATGACAAGCGGGTGTACTGAACCGATATACTAGTCAAGAGTTAATGGGCGCGCTAACTAGGTTTTACTATATAGCTATACCTTGCACCGTCGGTTGATTGGTCCAAGTACTCGAATGTTCTGGCAAGAATACAGGCGGGCTGGTCTTGGTGGAAGTAGACGCGAGATTCACAAAGATCATATGACGATCTCAGAACACCGCATTGTGAAAACGGATTGCAAGAAAATGTTGAATAAATGAAGCAGCTGAGGAAGTACAACAAAGACAAGAGCGGAGTGAAGATAGGTCGGGGGTGGCGCGAGGTAGGTAGAGGAAGAAAGAGAGGTAGCGCGGACATGCATGTATCATATGGCATGGGGCATAAGTAGAGCGGGGTAAAGAAGGAGGATGGCGCGGCGGGTAGGTAGGAGAGATGAGAATGAGATGAGAGGACACCGGTGTAGCGCAATGAAAACCAGAAAGAAAATCTACAAGGCTCGTAAGCGACGAAGATCGAATGATAAGAAAGAAGACGCACCAAAGAGAGAAACCCAAAACAAGAAACCGAAACTCAAAACTCGACCCCACGCTCCAAAAGCCCCGTCGCCTCAAACTCATCTCCACCAACGCCCTCGCCAGTCTGATCCTCCTCCTCCTCCTCATAACGCCAAAGACACCCGAACCCCGCCGCAGAGCGCGTAGCCTCGAGAGTCGCCTCGTCAAGGTCATCATCCGACTCGTCGCCCCGGCCCATGTTGGTGAAGCCAGAGAACGACCTCGAGCGGCGGACGCGTTTCTTGCGCTGGGCGGGGGTCTCAGCCTTGGTGACAGTGTACGATACAGGTGCCGCCTTGCCGACTGTGTTGGCGTGTGAGCGGAGGGAGAACTTGCTCGCTGTGTGGCGCGGGGTAGGGATGATCATGGGAGCGGGGGTGGACTTGTCGTCGATGGGGGAGGGAGCGGGGGCTGAAACGCCTTGCTTGACAGAAGAGGGCTTGCGAGTGAAGATGCCCGACACGCGCCACGGATACCGTCCAGGTACCACGGCGGCGGGGCAGAGGCTTGTCTTGCCTGGTCGGTGGCACGTTCTCGACATCATCATCATCGTCATCGACGACGACGACGGGTCGACGGACAGCTCGGATGGGAGCAGTGCGGGTAGTCAACATCGTGCGCACCGAGGCGGTGTCGGCACTGGGTTTCTTCTTCCTCAACTTGACGGGAGGCGCGGGGGTCGATGCGGGGGACGGAGACTGGAGCCATGCCATAGGCAGAGAGCTCGGTGGGGAAGTTGATGAACTCGGTGGGGTCGACGTCGGAGACGGCCATCGACGTTGGCCTAGAACGGACAAAGACGGCGCGGAGGGAGCTGGTGGGGGAGTGTGGGCAGCCGAGGTCCAACTCGTCGGCGCCGTCGTATTGGAAGGTGATGGGTGAAGCAGACATGGTGGACGTCGGTGAGTGCAGTGTGGGGGATGTCGAGCAGACCGCAGTCCTTTATACTCTCCCATGACGAACAATGCCAGAGTTCTTCCAAGAGTGTTTGCCATTTTGGGATTTGGCCGTTAAGCGACTAACTCTGCGCCATTGTGCGTGAGCCTGCGAACAGCGCACAATAGAGCACGGGCACGGAAGCATTTTGGGTGGCTACCGACTCCCGAGTGTGGCCCGAGGACAATGGTCAACAGATCTAAGCGAGAGACGAGAGTTTCCAGAGTCTCCAAGATTCTCCGTCCCGAGGAGGTCGGCGAGAGCCACGAGGCGCGCCGTTTGGGTGTCAGAGAATCCCGCCTAAACCACTGGCAGAACACAGACGCGGATTCAAAGAGCAGTCGCGGAAAATCGATGGTCCAGGCAAGAGTGGCTCAGCTTAGTCATCCCGACCTCTTTGATCCCGACGTCCATCTTCCCATCCGCGACTTGCCCTCAGCCCGAAACTCATGGCGGTGGCTCTCATATCCAACGACAACCCACGAGAGTCATCACTCGCTTCCAACTCCCCTTCTCTGGCATTGAAACCCTCTCCGACGGAAAATTTCATCCCGCCCAGGCGTCTCAAATAAATAACTACTCCTGAATGCTCCTGAGTATCGCTCCACACTCCGATCGCGTCGGTCGCACCAGCTTTCTTTTAAGCGCGAAAAACATGCAGCTGCTCGCTCATTGACAAATTTTCCCCCACCACGGTAGCCCACCGACCACGTTCTCTCCCTACATTCATTGATTATTCGTCCGGAATGCGGTTTCATCCTCACCATTGCTGCTCTCGCAGTC